AAAAATGTCAGCAGTCAACTCAAAGCTTCTCACAGTTCTACAGGAAGTCAATCTACACCAAGTTGCAGAGAGGTTCCCCGATGAGGTCTGCTGCCCACTGCATGTAAGGCATTTTTGATTCTCTTGGTTTGCTGCAGAAATATGCTCCAATTTCAGTAGGCTCAGACCGATTGCTTCTAATTAGATTCAAGTACCGAGAACCTGCAGAAAAAAAAGAATAAATGATAGTTATCCACATGGGAGGAACTGTTGGATTCCTATACACGCACAGATGACCTCTACACAGATCACTCATTAACACCAACACTTGTGCAAAGCTCAGTATCAAAGAACAGCCACAAGAAGAAATTGAATATACCGACAATTATGCATGTTTTAGCCAATGAACAACTATAATTTCAAACTTCTCATAGCTGTGCAACTTTTTTTAAATTATACTATATGTGTTGGATGCTTTCCTACATTGCAGGCAGCCTTGGCTTTTTGTTCAGGTCAGTATTTAAATCAACTAGCAGAGTCTTGTTAAAGATGGCTAATCACAGTGATCCATTAGTTGCTTTAATTGACGGCGTTTCTTTTTATTGCTCAAACGTCTGTCATCACTTGCTCTGACCTGTTTGAAAAACTGTTTTGGTCGGTGCTGCAAAGTGCTTGTGGGGACTCCCCGACATCCGAGACAACATAGCTGACATATATCAGGTATCAGTCCCTGCTTGGAACTGCTTTACTATGTGTCAAAAATAAAACTGCCTTAGGCGAGTAGTTTAATTATGGTGAGTGGTAACATCAATGTGGAAAGGTGGAAATCAATCCAGACACAGTAGTAAATGTACTGTAATGTAATGTCATTGTGGTGGTTGTGGCAACTTACCCATATGTGCACCCATGAGTGGTTTCTAGCCATCCAGTATAACCTGAATCTCAGATAGTCTGGAACAGCTTGGAGTCTCCATTTTCTGTGCCCTCTGGTACAACTCTGAATCTCCAAAGTAACGAGCGCGATACAGTAATCCTTCCTCTGAAAGAACAAGAGGAGAGTGTGTAAGTACGGTAGGTCTCTATCAACTATTCTTTAAATATCACATGTTAAGTAAATCCTTTGTTAACTTTAAAACACAGTGGCATTTAATGTCACAAAAGTTCAAAATCATGGTGCCACACTGTACAAATGCAGTACTGTTGAGTATCGGATCAGTATCAGACAAAAACATGTGCAGATTTATTTCATTATAAATTAAACATTTGTTGTGTGCAGCCCGACTTACTCTGCTGCTTCTCTTTCCAACAGTTGTTTCTGAGGTTGGAGATGTAGTCTTCTTCCACACTTTTCTCAACGTTCCTCAGATTTTTCCCAGAATATTCTTCGTTGAAGCGGTCTCCCACATAGAAAAGCACCTTCAGGTTCGATGTATGCCTTTTCTGAATATATCCAGCTGATCTGTTGTATAGAGGAGACATAATAACAGAGTGAGACGAATGGGACATTTCCCACAGCATCAGAAAGCTTTGAGTGGAAAAACACTTACGGGCTGTATCTAAGGCTATAGGGAGGCTGCGTGACCATCATCTGGCTGAGAGCAGAAACAACGATGAGGATTAGGATGGGCATCATCTGGACAAACAGAGCCAGACCTCCCTGTCAAGAGAGAGAAAAAAACCTTTAATAACTGTTTCGCAAACACAGTGCATCAGCTGGTTTCAAATTCAAGTGTAATTAAAGGATTAGAGACGGGACTTACATCTCTCTGCTGTTCTCCTTGTCTTTCTTGCCTATTCTGGTGTGCAAAGTGCATTCTTCCATTCCTGTAAACGTGTACGTTACCTGTAAAGAAATGAAAATAAAGATTGAAGTGCTACAACTGTTAGCCATATGAAATTGAGGCACAATAATATCTAAATATCCAATCACAGCAGCTGGGTTTCCTGATAATCATTACAAACTCAACAAAACAAAAAAGGGAAGTGTGACTGGGCTTACATGCAGAGTAACATTTTTACCAAGGTTGATCAAGGAAGCAATACATTATTTGGTTATAGGCTCCAAATAGTGCAGACAATACAATACACTCAAGTGCGAAGCATGTAGAAATGCTACTACTGAGCAGTCCACTACATGCATGCATCTGTGAAACACATTAAAAGGTGTTGCTGTATGCTCCTACAGTAAAATACTAATGGTAGATAATGGCACTATGACTAAGGTACTCTATTGTTAAATAAAGACTGACATGTTTCTTTTAAATCACAGCAGCTTCATCTGCTAAATCAACAGACAAACATTAAAGACCAGTAAGAAAGGATATATATATATATATATATATATATATACACACAACATAAGAATGCAATCACTAAAGATGGGATCTGTCTGTTCCTTTTTGTTGGCTTGTTGAAGAAGAAAGCAAAGGCAGGGCAAAAAATAAGGAGATTCACAAGGACAAACAGCCATATCCCATTGACTCAGAGAATGTGTGCTGATAAGGGCTGAGTAAAGTCAGCAGGCAAAACCATCAGCCTTTACCTTTAAGTCAACGCTTAGGGTTATGCAAAACACAGTTAAGGATAAGGCTTGCTCTCGAATGGGTTCCTGAGAAATGTTACTCCAAACATGAAAAACAGAGAAAAACCAAAGGCTCTCTCGCACTGCACAAGTACAACATCCGTGATTGACCCTCGATTCATTGTGGTTTGTTTTTAACTTGTGATGTGTCATTTTGTAAAGCACTTTGAGCTGTATGTGTTGTAGGAAAAGTGCTATAAAAATAAAGCTTTATTATTATTATTATCTGGCCTCTACTTACTTGATGGGAAGCCTCCACCAAAGAACATGTTGAAGAGGTCCTCAGGTGAGATGTCTGCTTCAAAATCACGATGTTGTCTCTGTCTGGTTGGGTTTGTTCTCTCTTCTCCATACTGGTCATACTGCTTTCGTTTGTCAGTGTTACTCAGCACGGCATAGGCATTGCCAATAGCTGCAAAAACACACAAAAAGGCCCCCACAAATGTGGACTTAAGTAAGCTCCCATTCGCATGTCTTCCATAGAACAGCACAGGAGATAACTTTTAAATTACCTTTAAATGCCTCTGTGGCTCCAGGTGCATGATTTTTATCTGGATGAAATTTCAGAGCCAGTTTTCTGTAAGCCTTTTTAAGATCCTCCTCAGAGGCGGCCTTTTCAACCCCCAGAATTTGGTAATAATCTTTACAGCTCTTAATCCTGCAGTACAGCAACAAAAACACCAACCAGAGAGATAGTTAGCAGATTGCAAGGGGAAAATGGAATCACACAAATATTAATAACACACAAACACTTTTCACATTATAAACAAAACATTTTAAACCATTTTGAATCGTGACATTCAATCAGTTATTTCAACATTATTTCTGAGGATGCTGATTGCTCTTTAAAAACACAAGACAACTGTAGACTTACATTGAATAGTCAGAAAAAAGAAAAAGAGCCATCATTCTGAATATAATAAGTGTAATCCGGCTTTAGTTGTTGCCCTTGATTTTTGCTCCTTTTAATATTCTTATGTCACTGGTGGGGCTTAAATGCAAAAATACTATAACAAATATTCCAATCAATCCATTCCTTGTCTGAAAAAATACTTTGGATTTAGTTTTTCATGTGACTGCCATAACATGTATTGTTGCTACTAAAGGCAGTACTTAATCAATACATTCGACTTTTTCAGTTGAGTGTCATGAACATAAGGGGCTCTAGCTACTTGTAAATCACACACTTTTAGTAATAGTTAGTTTCTGAAAACACACTACTACACCTAAATAAGCTTTTCTCTAAGACTAAAATGTCACACTATTGAATGATGTAAAGGAACTGAGTAAAACATGTCCTGATGTCTTAATTTGATCAGCTCTAGTGTGTGGTTTGTACATTTAAACTAAGACAAAAGAACAGATCCACATTGCACTGACTTTCTCACAGCCTCCAGCTGATCTGCAGTGTATGGTTTGGCCGACTCTGAGGCCCCCCGGGCGGAGACATCAGGCTCCTCTCCGTGGCTGCGTTGCCTCATAGTGGGCCCGTCTCCGTTCACAGGACTGCCATTCTCATCTGGGGGCTTTCCATTCTGGGCTAGCGACTCCAATAAGTCTGAAGAAAAAAAAGTGGGGCAATATTATGTAAGGATGACACCCGAGTCTCGTTCATAATCAGATATCCACATTAACAGGGCCTGGTGCCCACAGTGACTATTATCCACCCCATAAACACATTATGCATTACATTAATGCACATTTTAATACTGAAACCTGCACAACCCTTTGAACATGTTGCACATTTCTGCTCCATACTTCATATTTCTAAATGTGCACAGCTCTGCAGTTTCAATAGAGTATTTGTCATATTTTCTTTTACTGTACTCAGTTTCTTACATATTTATATGTTGTGTAAATATTGCCTTTATTTTTATATTGTTACAATAGTCTTTAAAATAGTACAATTGTTTGCTTCTTTTCTATCTGTGTCTTTGTATGCACCATTTAAACCAAAGCCAATTCCTATGTATGTGTAGACCTACTGATTCTGATCCTGATAATTCACTAGTACAGTTAGCTATCGGCTAGCACTGAAGCTGCTAACAAGGACAGCAATGATCTAATAGCCAGTGACAATAAGATCGTACACATCTAAGACAGTTAAGTAAACAAATATGTTACATGGATCGCGGGTAGGGTCCTTAAAAACTACAAATACCAATTGTGGGAGCAGCTGGTGTAACGATATGACGGTTATGCTAACGTTAGCTGGTTTCACAGCGAAGCGATGGCCCACTAACCGACACCAACCACCGCCGTAACAGACGCTTATTCGACGTACTTTTTGCCTGATTGGTCGGAAACAGACGCTGGGCCTTCTCTAGAAACTTCCTGGCTTTATCACGTTGGTTGTTGTTGACGGCATTTATGGCTATTTTTATGCACCGCTCCGCTTCGTCCTTGTTTGAGTCCATCGCGATGATCGCGACACAGCGGAAATGTTTACTTGCCCTGGGACGCACAGAAATGACGCCGAGACGTTATCTGGCTCGTAAATAGTACGTCATGGCAATTTGAAACCACCAGCATGCACTTCATTAACGTCGGGCAGTAGGCCTACGTCTTTAATCTGCAATATTTAAGGTCAGATGTTTCTTTTGTTTGCTATATTTAGCTTCACTGGCTGTGACCGTGTCACTAGCTGACAATTGAGGCACCCTACGACATTCACTTCTCTGAAAGTCAAAATGGCTCTCGCAGTTGCACAAACCAGGTCAGTCTTATTTATCAAACGCAAATATCTGCATGCTTTGAGGAAAACCTGCCTGTGGTTTTCAACGAATGACACGATTCTAGCTGATCAGAGGAAACCACCACCGAAAACACATTTGAGAAAAAGTCAAAAGAAGACTACTTTGACTGATCTGTCCTGGGAGGAAAGGCTGTCTGATGTGGTCACCCCTCTATGGAGGCTGAGTTATGATGAGCAACTTGAGCTCAAGCTAAAGCACCAGGAAAGGATCATGTCTCAGCTGTCTGGGTATCTTTCAGGTGAACTACAATCACAGTCCTCATTACCTGTCAGAACCAAACTCAGTTTCCCTGTCTTGCCTGTTCTGCCATCACCAGTTAGGGATGGCTACCGCAACAAGTCTACCTTTTCTGTTAACCGAGGAGTGGATGGAAATCCAAAGACGGTTGGATTCTACGTGGGCACAGGGAAGAAGGGAAACATTGTCTGCGTCAATGGAGACCACCTTCTCAACATGCCAGAGAAGCACACAAGGGTGGCCAGATGTTATCAGGACTTTATCCGCCTCTCTTCTCTCGAGCCCTGCCTGCTGTTCTACACTGGGGGTCACTGGAGAGAGGTCACAGTGAGGACCAATGCAGAGGGCCACACCATGGCTATAGTGTACTTTCATCCACAGACGCTGACCCCAGAAGAGGTGGTGGTCCATAAGGCTGAGCTGCTGGATTACTTCACACGAGGGCCGGGATCAGTCTGCCAGCTGCACTCACTGTTTTTCCAGGAGAGCGCCATGACTCGCTGTACTCATGAGCAATCACCCTACCAGCTCCTGCATGGTCAGCCACACATATACGAGGAGGTAATACAAACCATAGGGCAACATTACAGGGAATCCTTAAGTGACTTCACATCGCATACAGCAAACTTTGTAGTATGCCAGCATTGCAACGTAGTAATTGTCCAACTGAAGCAGTACTTATTCTGGTACATTCTTGTGTTAATACATTTAGATATACCATGTGCTTATATACCTATAAGCACATGGTAATTTAACTTTATTTACATGTTTAAAGATGGTGATACTTTTACTCTGTTTCCTATTTTAATAGTTGCATTAAATGACAAAGACATTGGAAGTGTTTCACAAAATCAGCCAATCATCAGCAGTAAAAACAATAATGTTCAAAAGCACTCCAAGGATTCAATAACAGACTTCCATAAAGTTGGGGGACGTGCACAAAAGGTCAAAATTGATGCAGCCCAAACCATGATATCCTGAATTGGGCCAAGTTCTGGAAACATTGGATCTTAATGTTTCCATAATGCAATGTGATAGCATTCTCAATTAAAACGTCCTCCCCCAGTGGATTCCCATGACTTTCAGGCTATTTGTGTTTATTGTTATAATAGTCCTATAACTAAGTAATATTTTTGTATAATAATAGACAGAGGAAAATTGACATTACAAAATCCATATATCTTCATTGTGTCTATTTTCCTAATTGCTGTTTTGTCATTCACAGCAGCTGGGATTCAAATTCCGCATATCTGCCGATGCCTTTTTCCAGGTGAACCAGGCAGCAGCTGAGGTGCTGTATAGCACAGTGAGACAACTGTGTATCCCAAACCCAGAGGAAGGTGGGGAAAGGACACAATTTGGTGGTACTCTTCTGGATGTGTGCTGTGGGACAGGTGCCATCGGCATTATTACATCTCCCAGAGTGGACAGAATTATTGGTATAGAGCTCATAGAACAGGCAGTGGAAGATGCTCGACACAACGCAGCTCTCAATAATGTACTGAACTGTGAGTTTATCCCTGGGAAGGCTGAGGTGGTGCTTCCTGGAGTTATGTCACAGTTGAGTTCTGCAGGTGGAGGGCCTGTGGCTGCTGTGGTGAATCCTGCGCGAGCTGGCCTCCACTACCGAGTGGTCCGAGCTTTACGAAACCAACCTAATATCCGCAGGCTGGTCTATGTGTCCTGCAAACCGGATGGGGATGCTATGAGGAACTTCAGGGAGCTTTGTTGTGCTCCTGACCCGATGAAGAAACTCACAGGAGAGGCATTTTCTCCAACTCTGGCTGTGCCTGTAGACATGTTTCCACACACTCCTCATTGTGAACTGGTGCTACTATTTGAGAGGTAGCAGATGATTTAGTTCAGAGTTGAGCTTTAAACAACACTAATTTCTTTGTAACTCTAATGTGGCATCAAATAATAATTCACTGTATGCTAAATATAATGGCTTATCTTTACCCACACACATGTTTTCACTTATTTTCTTGATTAGACCTTGTTTCAGGGCTGCAACAAATACTTTGTTTGTTTGTAGCCTTTATTTAACCAGGTGAAGCCCCTTGAGATCAAAAGATCTCTTTTTCAAGGGTGACCTGCAGGACATTAGTTACACATGTAACATAAAAACAACAGAACAACAATAAGGATGACATACAACATAATGTGCAGGGTACAGTTTACAAACTCTATTTACAGTGACAGGTACCATGAATATCAAACAGCATGTCAGCCAGCTGAGTTTTAAAATGATGCAGGGGAACCAAAGTGCTCAGTTTTAAACATGTTTGCAGACTGTTCCAATTTAGTGGAGCTGCACAACTAAAAGCTTTCTTCCCTAAGACAGTCCTAGCACTTGGCACATTTAATAAAACAACATCATGAGATCTCAGGCAATATGTACTTTCAATTCGTCGAGAGATCAGAGAGCAGATATAAAAAGGTAGTTTACCCAACATGGCTTTGTAAATGAACATGTACCAGTGACTGAGCCTCCGTACAGTTAGTGAAGGCAGACCTGCCCTGGCATACAGGGTACAGTGATGAGTAAGTGCTTTACAGTTAGCAACAAATCTCAGGGCACTGTGATAGGCGGCATCTAACTTTTCCAGGCAATGGGCAGGTGCATTGATATAGATCATATCACCATAGTCCAGCACAGGTAAAAAGGTCACAGTGACTAGCCTTTTCCTGGCTTCAAAAGAGAAACAGGACTTGTTTCTGAAAAAGAAACCTAGTCTAACCCTCAGCTTTTTAAGCAGGTTATTGACATGAAGTTTAAAAGTAAGACAATCATCAAGCCAGATACCTAGGTATTTATAACTGGTAACCACTTCAAGTACTTGTCCTTGCATAGTAACAATATCCAAAACAGGCACTTAATTATTCTTTCGATAAATCTTTTAGGATATACAATATACTTACATTGAGTCCAGTATGATGCTTTCAAGTTGCTTGTTTCGTCCACCAACAGTTCAAATATCATAATATATTCAATTAACAATGATAAAGAAAAGAGAAAAATGGCAAATCCTCACATTTGAGCAGTTAGAGCCAGCAAATGTTGTTGCTGATTCTTTGGACAAATTCAAAAGGTAATTTAGTCTCTGAGTTGTGTGGAGATAGTGAAATGTAAGGCTTGACATGTAGAAGAGGCCATCTCCTATAGTGACCGCGACAGCACAAACCCTGTCATGAGACCTGTGACCTCTCAAAATGAAAGCCTCTGCAGATCAACTTATTTTCACTACATGAGCTAATTTTCTGTTATTTTAGATAGCGTGCACCTTTTTTAATCTTATTGTTTTGTGTTGTACTGCACTGACAGATTGTCTTTTACTGCAGCAGGTGAACAGATGAGAGTTCACCTTGATAAGATAAGAAGATGTACTTTATTGATAAGATAAGAAGATGTACTTTATTGTTCCAAAATTGGAAAATGTTTTTGTCCCAGCAGCACGTAAAACAAGGCATCGCACCTAATTATAATATAAACAATTATAGAGTCTCAAAATATAAAATTAAATGGAACTAAAAAAGAAGAAAATATAAAAGTTGACACTGAAGATACAAATCTGTGAACTATCTAACAAATAAAACACTAAGGGCCAAATTACAGCTGACACAATATTAAAGTAGGATATGATTACATTACAGAGTTGAGTCAATAAATGTATTACACAGTGTTTATCCATTATAAACGTCACAAACCTAAAAGTTGCTGAAGAGGTGTTACAATGGATTCACAATTCTGTGAAAGATGTTCATAATCTTTGTCCACATATTAGTGATTATCTTTGTCTGCCCTGCAGTAGCTGAATTTGTGCAACAGATGGCGTTATAACCACTTTTTTAGTAGCCATCCTATTTGGTGACATCCCATTCATTCCAGTTGACTAAAGGTCAATATCATAATGAGTGTACAGTGAGTGATCCACGTTTTTTCCAGAGTTTACCAGGGTGTATGTGAGGTCATACATTGTATCAGGGCGTCCTTGGCTTTTAGATAGGATATTGTTTGATCTCTTGGGTGAAGTCATGGGATGATGATGTTCATGAGGGGTTAGCATGAAGCTGGGAAATTAACCTTTTTACACTGCCCGGGGTATAGGGTTTTAAACCATAGTCTATGGTTTAAACAGGCACATACATGCCCTTATCATAGTCATGTTTACTAACTCTGCTCTTGCTAATTTTACAAAAAGAACTTGTGTTTACTTCACATTAGGTTTCTGCGGTTTATTGTATATGTTATACATAATAATCACATCTTACCTTCAACATTTCACACAAACATGTCATTTTTAATAAGTAGTTTCATCATATTATATCTTTGTGTTTTGATTTGGACATTTGAAAACACACTTTTTAACATATTGTACTTAAATGATACCAGTATTGCATCTGAATAGGCCAGGGAATTCCCCCACTCTGAATTACCTGCAATGAAATGTACACATGACACAACCATCGGTCCTTAGACTCTTGTCAGGTGCTGTGGGAATTCCCTTTTCTCTTGCCTTTGGATTTATCCTTCCATGCACCCATCTCCAAGAAAATACAGTGTGCTTCAGCCTTCACACAGTCAAGAAATGTACTGTGTACAACGTTTTTCTTCACATTTCATAACCATGATGATGGCAGACTAGACTAGACAGTACAATTGCATTTACACTACATATATGTACTTGTTGGAAAACGTGACAAGATGCAAGTGGGAATAAGGACAGAGCCAAATGCAAATTTCTTGATGTCCTCATCTGACTGAGACTGTCATTGCTGTATGACATAATGCTATCAAATATACTGACCTTTGTTTGCCACATCTTGCAATGATTCAACACACTAAGGAGAGATAATAAGATCGAGAGGTTGATTTGAAAGATTGAGAAATGTTTTGGATCGCATACAAACGTATGATAAGAATGTCTGGGGATTGAAAAAAACGGAGGGTGGTTAACACAAGCAAACAACCAATAGGATACCCAGAACATGTGGCATCCATTTCCTCATCGACCAATTGCTTTAAAAGGACCTCAGAATATGCAATAAGAGATCCTCAGTAACCGGGGATCATCACCCAGTATTACCGAACGCATTTCTCGCTTCCTCTTCACCCACATCTCCCCTGCACCCGGATCTCCTGCAGCTTTGTGTCTTCCTCTGTACTGAAAAACGCCTGTCGACTACACGGTACGTAAGCGCAACATGAGCACGTAATTATCTAAAAAGAATTTGAATGGAAATTTTTTGAAGAGACGCCGAGTGTCATGCAAATTGCAAGCGGTATTTGGCTAGTGGTGTGGCAGATGCCCGCAGGGATAATTCGCAGACATATTGTAACTTCTGCCTACGCAGCATATCACTGCTGCGCCACTGGCTTATATCACGTCTTACATTTGTGTAATAACTTTGTTTTAGTCATTACATCTATACACGACACGGTCTGATGCCCACTTGTATGTAGCTAACGTTAAACAAACTTTGTCCACCATAGGGTTAGCCCTGCTAGCTAGCCCCTGGAAAAGTTTAACATCCAGTTCCCTACAGGAAGTGGTTAGCTTTTAGTGTAGTTTTATCATAATTATGACATTGACTCATGTTACAACTTGGACATATGCTACACGTGAGCACATTAGCATCTTCCGGTGCTACACAATTGTCGTGACGTTTTTTAGACTTATAAACCGCTGGAAAGCAAAGAGGTGTGTCGTGTGTTTGTGTAATGTATAAAAGAGGAGTGTCCCTTTTTCTTTTTTTAATGCGCCACATGCGGGGTGAAAATATATTCAAATTGGCGTATCTCTAAGATTCGGCATGTGACACAAATAACGGGAATTTGGTCGATGAAAAGTGGTTTCTGGTGAAACACGAACCATATTCAAATCCTATCTGGGATGTGTATGCCGGTGGGAAGTGGTGTAACAATTGAGCACGCGCTCACGTTAAATACCATTTGATATGAACCAGTGGAGCGGCAGCGGCTCACAAAACAGGGACAGCTCGCAGACTGCTGCATGTTCACAGCCAGCCGCCGTACCTTCCTCCCCGTTTCTCCATCCCACCGTACGCATTTAACAGATCTCTCTCTCTCTCTCTCTCTCTCGCCCTATCGCTCTCTCTCTCTCTGTCTGTGTCTCTCTCTCTGTGTCTGTGTGTGTTTTCCTGCTGCGCACTGTTGTTACAGAACCCCCTTTTTCAGCAAAGATGACGGAAACCAGAACCCTTCATGATGTCAAGCTACAGAACGGAGCTGCTGTGGCAGAAACGTCGGTGGAGGATGTTTTTGACGATACCTATAAAATGAAAGAGGGTCCAAAACCACCGAGGATGCTGGTGTGGAGAAATATCATCCTGATGACGTTCCTTCATCTAGGAGCGCTTTATGGACTGGTTCTCCTGCCTTCTGCCTCGGTTTCAACTGTCGCATGGAGTAAGTATTTACCATATTGTAATAACAGGCTAAGCTACGCAGCATTTAGTTGTTAGTTTTTCTTTCTCCATGTAGGCCACAGTCAGAACAGAATGTGCTGATGTTGTTAGATCATTGCTAACTACAATACATCCAGCCTGGGGGGGGTCATGCCTATGGGAATATCGTAGAATGAGTCAACCTGGCCTTGTCATTTTATTGTAAAAATCCATCTAAATGTATGTTTGTGCCTTTTTTTTTTTTAAAGAGCTCAAATCTGTGGCTGGTGGCAAACTAATTGGGATTGTTTGAATAGGTTGCATACTCAACTAGTATCATGCTCTACTAGTATTTGAATCTGAGTGTTAAAAGAAAAACTGTTAGTTGATTATTTACACTTTATGTTCTATATGTAGACTATTGAGGCATGACTTGGATTTCTGAACAGTCTCAACTTTGTTTCCACACTGCTACTGCATAATTTCCCCCTCTCTTTACAATGCTGAGCTGCATATTTTTTCAGTGAGGAAGACAAAGCACAATCACCATTCCCAT